TTGTTGTTTGGCGGGCCTGGGCTGGGGATTCGAACCCGCCACCTTAGGTGTATGTGGCTGGCGCCTTAGCCGCTTGAGCCACAGGCGCCGAGCCTAGAGCCAGGTTTTGAGTTATCTAACATAGTGCTAGATTGCATTAAGCTGTGTAAAATTTAGTTCCATAACCTTCCCCTCCCAATTAGCAATAGTTGAGGTTGCTGGCTTATGGGAGGTGTCTTTCAGACAATACCTTGTTATTGAAAGCATTTGATAAAAAATATCCCATTGTATAATGAACTGTGTAAATAAGTATATGTATTAAACTATAAGGCTTTTCTGAGAAAGAAATACATATTTAGTGTTAAATATATAATAAAAAAATAAAATTAGGACAGAAGTACTTGGGAAATAGGGGAAAAACAGTGATATCTCTGGCTTGGCGCCTGTGGCTCAAGTGGCTAAGGCACCAGCCATATACACCTAAGGTGGCGGGCGGTTTTGAATCCAGCCTGGACCTACCAAACAACAGTGACGACTGCAACCAAAAAATAGCTAGGCACTGTGGCAGACTCCTGTGGTCCCACCTACTTGGGAGGCTGAGGCAGGAGACTCACTTGAGCCCAGGAGTTAGAGGTTGCTGTGAGCTGTGATGCCACGGCACTACCCAGGGGGACAGCTTGAGGCTCTGTCTTAAAAACAAAAAACAAAAAACAGTGATATCTCTCTTAAGATATTTTAACTCATTAGATGTTTAAAACTTTTAGGCAGTTATTAAAATGTTTTGTTGGATATAGCCATTCATTTTGTAGTAAAGATTCATATACTTGGTTTAGATTTTTAAATTATGTTTTTAAGTAATGGTTGTAGCATATAACTGATAGCTATAATTAACTGTTATTACCTTAAGGCCCTTGATCGCATACTTTAACTCTTATTTTCTTAAATATTTGCCAAATTAAAAGGGCAGCATTCTAAAATTGTCGGGTTTTATGAATTTGAGGTGATTGTTTTCTAATTACATTGTGTTATTTGTTGTTTCTTGTGAGCACAGCATTTCTGAAATAGGTATTCTTGACCCATAGGTTCTATTTTTGGTATGAGTAGATGTATTTCTTTTTCAATTAGCTATAATGTGTACATACCACCATTAATCTTATTAATTAATGTATACTTAATTACTCTTGTATACTCTCCTATACTTTTTCCTATGCCTAAACTATATGTACCTATTTTAATTATCAAAATTTAGTTTTAATTGCTAGTTTCATTAATTGGAAAGAATTTAAGTAGAGTATTTTTCTTGTCTGTGCGAGAAAAGAAAGCATTTTGGAGACATTGCATTAAGTGAGGAAGCAGGCTGAGTAAAAAGGTATTAAGCTGCATGTGTATACCATCATGTGTTCAGTTTAACAAATACATGGAATAAGGCAAGAGGAAGAAAAGACTGAAATTGATAGTTTGAAAAAGGATAGATAAAGCCATTGCTTCATTTCTTATGATTATCTTTCATTTATCTTCCTTGAATTTCATAAATCAAATTACTAAAAATTAACATGTAAAAATTTTCTTGATCTTTATTAATTGCTTTTAGCCTGGTTTTTGTTTACAAATATGATTTTAAATACATATTATCAAAAAATGATGGAATAAAATTCATACATTAGGCCCAGAGTGGTGCTTCATACCTGTAATCCTAGCACTTTGGGAGGCTCAAGCAGGAGGATCATTTGAGGCCTAAAGTTGAGAACAGACCAGGCAACATAGCGAGACTCTGTCTCTACAAAAAAATTTTTTAAATGGGCATAGTGGTGCTTACCTATAGGCCTAGCTACTAGGGAGACTGAACCAGGAAGGTTGCTTGAACTCAGGAATTTGAAGTTAGAGTGACCTTTAACCAATGGTGCCACTGCATTCCAGCCTGGGCCACAGAGCAAGAGTCTATCTCTTAAATGAAAAACAAACAAAATCAGACATGTTATTGACTTTTGTCAAATTTTATATAGTTTCTCAGTTGATATTTATTTAAAATTTTGACTTCAGACTGAAAATATTCCTGTGGTTAGAAGACCTGACCGAAAAGATCTGCTTGGATATCTCAATGGTGAAGCATGTGAGTATTTTTTAAATTGCTCCCCCTTTTAAATATGCATTGTTTTCCCTATGAAATAAGAAGTAGTGAGAGAGTTTATATTACCACTAAAACATTTGCCTACTTAACTTCAGCTGTGTCCATGTGCTTTTTCTTTGTTTTTATAGTGAATATACTCTTTGCTCCTATGGCCAGTCATCACTTCCTTGTGTGTGGGTTCCATCTTCTTTCACAGTCTGAAAGATTTTGTCTCTGTAGATTGTTTCTCTCTTGCCTCATGAGTTTTCTCCTTCCTTCTGCATCGTTCCCTTTTAGAATACATATAGTAAGACCTCTTTTTAGAAGATGGTTTTGAGCCCACATTCCTACTATATACTCCATTTGTCTTCTCTTTTTTACTACAAAGTTCTTTAGAAGAGTTGGTGTGATATCACTGCTTCTTTACCTGTTATTCTCTCTTAAGGCCACTTCAGTCTGACTTTCATCCTCACCATCGTACTGAAGTGACTCCTTGTAAAGTCAACACATTCTTAAGTATTGCCACAGCCTTGTCTCTTAACCATACTTGACCTCTCAACCTTTGGTACTGTTGATCACTTCTGTTTCGAAAACTTTTCTTTCTTTGGCATTTGGGACTCCACACTCCTGGTTTTCTTCCTAGTCATTGCCCACCTTTCAGTTTATTTTGCTTACTTCTCTGCCTGACTTCTAAATCTTGACGTTTTCCAGAACTTCATTTTTTTTCCTCTCTATTTTAGTCCTTAATCTCTAGGTGACGTCTTCAGCTTTACGCTTTAAGTACTCTGGGTGTATGCTGATAAATTCTAAATGCTTATCTCTAACACTGATTTCTTCAGCTCCAGAGTTAAAAATTCACTTCAGCATCTTGCCTTGTATGTTTAATAGGCATCTGGAACTTAACATGTCCAATTCCCTCCTTCCCATCTCCCCTCACATTAAACAAAAGGAGTTTGTTCTTCCTCCATTGTTCCCAAAGTATTAATGAATAATGGCACCCTACTCATGGAGTTGCTTATGCCAAAGCCCTTGTGAAATCTTTGATATCATTCAGATGTCACATCCATTCTATCAGCAAGTCCTTTTCTCAAACTTTAAAAGAATGACAGTCTCTTACCATTTGACCCTGACCCTATTTCATTCTTCTTCCTTAGATTATTGTATAGCTTTCTCACAGGGCTCTATTCTTTGTTTCCTGTAGTGTGTGTCTGCCTAGCAGTTAAGAGTGACCTTTTTTTGAAAAAGGGTATAAACTTGATTGTGTTACTCATCTCTTTAAGGCTGTCTGGTGACTTCCCATCACATTAGACTAAAGCTCATTTTCCTTATCCTGGCCTACATGGTCGCTTGTGCCTGGATCTCTGTGACCTTATCTTCCGCCACTTTCCCTTTGCTCTCATTGGTCTGTCTCCTTGTTCTTTTAGCTGTTCTAATCTTAGTCTTTATACCTGATCTTTTCTGTGTTTTGAATTGATTCTCTTTATTGTCACTTGGCTCACTTTCTTACTGTCCCCTTCAGATCTGTGCCTAAGTGTTGCTCCAGATGTTGTTCCATCTGAGCGCACTGCTCTGACCGCTCTAAAATATAGAACAACATTGCTTCCCTCCACCTCTGTCTGTGTAGTACCATCATTTTTTATCAGATCCCATAGGTGACCTGAAACTATATATTTAATTGTGTACCTGTTGTCTGTTATCTTCACCAGATGGTAAACCCTAAGGGGTAGACGTTAAACCCTAAGGGGTAGACGTTGTTTGTCTTGTTTATTGTTAAATATTTAACATTTAGAATAGTGGTGCATACTAGGTTCTTAGCTGAATAAATATTGATTTGCTGTCATACAGAGAAATGTTTCTTCTCACCTTTTCTGGGATGGGCTTTACCACCTTAAAATCATCAACAGCTGTTTTCTCATGTATTCTGCTCTTTACTGTTAAGTGTTAAGGTTGGTTTACACAGGGAATCTTGTGCATCCTGGAAAGATTATCAGGCATGTTTCCTTCTCCTGCTGTCCCTATTTACCAAGTATTCTGCTAGGTGCTGTACAAATTGGAAAATCTGTGTTGTAAACATGTAAAAATACTGTCATGCAAAGGAGATGAGATGATAGTATGGGGAAGTTTGAGGAAGGAATCTCAGTTCTCCTGTGAAGAGGATGGAGTTGGGGGAGGCTTTTATTAATTTTAATTTTAATTTTTAAATTAAAACTAGTAGAAGTCTGTGGTACAGCGCTAACTTTTTAAATCATGATAATCGTGTAGACTTGTTAAAAATAGTTTTTTTGCCTCAGAAGATTTGGTACGGGTCTAGGATACTCTGTTCTTAATAAACATCTTAGGAGGTGAGCCTGAGAAACAGACTGGTTTGGGGAATACTTTAGAGCAATGGCTTTTCTTTTTAGAATCCAAAAATAAGTGTCATTTAGCCATCTATTTCTTTTCCTACAACTCTATAGGACAGATAAATTTAGTCATCAAATAATTGCTTTCCAGTTTGAAAAAAATTTTAGTTTAATAGTTTAATGAGAACATTAAGCAAATAATGTGACCGTGTTTCTGGACAAGAACACATAGCGGCTTAAAGACACTAGTTCTTAATTTATAAATTTAACATGGTCTCTATAAAAATCTGTACAGTTTTTCTTGAGGAAAGGTTAGAACTAGATAAAATTATTCTAAAATTTCTTGGTAAGAGTAAGCTTCCTAAATATTTGTAGAGGAGCAATGAAAAAAGACTAGCCTTAGCCAGGTGTTATAGTGGGCGCCTGTGGTCCCAGCTACTTGGGAGGCTGAGGCAAGAGAATCACTTAAGCTTAAGAATTTGAGGTTGCTGTGAACTGTGATGCCATGGCAGTCTACCCAAGGCAACGTAGTGAGACTCTGTCCCCCCCCCCAAAAAAAGACTAGCCATTGGAAAGTTTGGAACATGTAATAAAGCCCCTAAAATTTAAAAACTATGACTCAGTAGATTTATTAATAAAACTTTTTTTTACCTGTTAGATTAGAAATAAATGTGTGAATTTATTGTATGAATCAAGGGACAGGTAAAATCAGTGGGAGGAAAATAGAGTTATTCAGTTACAAACTGATAAAACTAAAACTGTTACATATTATAAAAAACATATGTTTGGGAAAAGATTTTTCAACTCGTCACATATAAATATTATTAATACTTATAGATATTATATATCAGCTCATTTAATTATAAAGATTCATCTCACTTGGTGGTGACTGTGGCTTGGTGAGTAGGGTACTGGCCCCATATACCCAGGGTGGCGAGTTCAAACCCAGCCCCGGCCAAACTGCAACAAAAAAAAGCTGGGCATTGTGGCAGGCGCCTATAGTCCCAGCTAGTTGGGAGGCTGAGGCAAATCACCTAAGCCCACGAGCTGGAGGTTGCTGTGAGCTGTGATGCCATGGCACTCTACTGAGAGCGACAAAGTGAGACTTTGTCTCTGAAAGAAAAAAAAAATCTTACTAAAACTGGAAATACAAACATAAAACATGTGGTGGATTATATCACGTAATTTACAGGACAGATGATAAAATTGTGTGAAAAATTCTTAATTTCATTCATAATAAGGAAATTTACAAATTTAAACTATACAAAAATAGTATTTTTTTAAAACCTGATTCACAGAAATCTGTAAAGTTGATAATATGCTCTGGTGAGGCTATAAGGAAATAAATATTCTACTGTAATGCTGGTTATAATTACTTTCTTCATTGTTGAAGAAATTGGCAGTGATCTATCATTACAAATTTGACACAGAAATGCTGCATCTGGGACTTTATCCTACAGGTGCATTTGAAAAATGTATGAAATGCCATATGTATAGATAAAATTATTCATTGTCCCATGATTTGTAATGGTAAGACTTAAAATTGAACTGCTCATTAATTAGAACCTAATTAAATGAATTATAATAATTCTTATTTTTTAGAATTCTACGTAACTATAAAAGGGTAGTTAAGGAAATGCATCACATAGTGATAGGGACGCATGTGGGTGTTGTGAAGTCAAAAATAAAGCAAGGTTAGAACAGTGTTTATAGCATGCTACCTTTGTATTAAAGGTAAAAATAAAACTCTAATTTCGTCTTATATCTACAGAAACACATGTTGGAAGGATATTTAAGAGGTTAACTCGTTGTTTAGGGTGGTGGGAGCTAGGTGGATGAGGTTAGACACACCCCTTTTTTATAGTCTAATTATTTTGAGCCATTCAAAAATTAAGTGATTTAATGTACAGAGAATTTTTGTCTGGGTGCAGTGGTTTACACCTATAATCCTAGGACTTTGGGAGACTGACACAGAAAGATTGCTTGAGGCCAGGAGTTTGAGAGTAGCCTGAGCAAGAGCAAGGGCAGTCTGTACAAAAAAACCCAGAAGAATTAGCTGGGCATGGTGACATGCAGCTGAAGTCCCAGCTACTTAGGTGTTTGAGACAAGAGGATCATTAGAGCACAAGAGTTTGAGGTTGTGGTTGATAACCACTACACTTCAGGATACATAGCAAGACTCTGTCTCAAGAAAAAAAATTTAGTTTTCTGCCAGTTGTGAATAGCTAAACATTGCATGTTTAAAGTGAACGCTAACTTAAAACTTTCCCTCAGTATATACATGTATATACATGTTAAGTATTTACTTATGTTCAGAAACACTTTTTTATGTGTGTGTGTTGTATATTGGACTGTATTCTTTGAAGTGACCGGTTAATTTCAGCCAGATCATCTCAATAATTTGTAAGCTAAAATGGGTCAAATATAGTTTGTTCTCTTGGAGAATGTCTAATGCAGGTTAATCTTTTTAATAAAATCCTTTTACAGAGCTGCTTTAAAACTTATTACTGAGGGAGATCACCATATAGGAATAAGAAATATAACAAATCTTGAGCATTTCACTTGTGATAATATATACATTCAAATATTAACATTCTCACATGAGTCTTTTTAAATCTACAGCAACATCAGCAAGTATAGACAGAAGTGCTCCCTTGGAAATAGGTCTTCAGCGATCTACTCAAGGTATGTCTTGTCACATGTTTACAGTGAATTTTGAAAAACTCATCTGAAACTATACATTTATTCACTTCTTTTTCTTATAGTCAAACGAGCTGCTGATGAAGTTTTAGCGGAAGCAAAAAAACCCCGAATTGAGGTAATGGAACTTTATTTTAAAGGTGATTTCATATTGTTACTGAAGTTGGAATTGTGTAGTGACAGGAATATTTTGTTGTGTTTTGTTGTTGAGAGGGGGTTTCTCTGTGTTGACTAGGCACATCTCAGACTCTTGAGTCAAACTCTTCTCCCACCTAAGCCTCTTGAGTAGCAAGGACTATAGGTACCTGCCATCTCATTCAGCTAAAAGTTTATTTATTTATTTTTTTTAAGAGACATTGAGTCTTGCTTTATTTCCCAGGCTTGCGTTGAACTCTTGGGCTCAAGTGGTCCTCCTGCCTCAGCCTCTTGAGTAGCTGAGGCTGATGATTTGGTGGACAGATCATTTTCTTTGCTTTTATATCCTTATGGATGAAAATATTGGAATAGATGAAGACTAAGAATACTTTTTTTTATAAAAGGTCAGATAGTGAATGTTTTAGTGTTGTGGGCCAAGGCAGTCTCTGTTGCAACTGTTGCACTTGAAGTTTCAAAGCAGACACAGATGATAGACATAACAAACAGTTATTACCATGTCCAAGTAACACTTTCTGAAACTAGTAGAAGGCCAGAATTGCCTTTGGGTTGTAGTTTACCTACCTCTGGAATAAAGTGGTATAGGGAGTTTATTTACTTTACAGATTCGTTGGAACATTGCTATAACAGGTAACATTTTATAGCCAGTAAATAGAATATTAATATTGATTAACAAGTAGAATATTAATGTTTATTAACAATAATTCATGGGAAATGAAAAGCAGAAAAGAAATGCAATTACCTTTAGAGACATATTGTACAACATGGTGACTATAGTTAATAACAGTGTGTTGTGTATTGAAAATTGCTTGGAGAGTAGATTTTAAATGTTCTCACCACAAAAAATGTGAGGTGAGGATACCCATGTGTTAATTAGCTTGATTGAGCCATTTCACGTCATGTGAGTATTAAGAACATCACAGATACAATTTTTGTCAATTAACAAGAAAGAAATGACATTCCATTGGAGAGGAAATTTGTTGATCAGCTACTGTACTGCATGAGACCATTAAACCTTTAATTATGTGAGAGTATTATTTATATAAATGTACAATAAACATCATATCTGTTGCAGATAAACTCTCCCAGTAATGTGTACTACAAGCACACTTAAAATCTGAGAAATGATTAAATTGGTCATATGTCAATTAAATAAAGGAAAACCATGAGTCTTTTCATTTCAAACTCATATAAAAATGAAAGAATTAAATATATATACATTTTGTCTGCCACATAAACAGCAACACATCTGCACCTAAAGATAAGAAAGGTAACTTGAAGGACAGGATTGGTTGGTTAAATATATACAGCAGAATCAGTGACAAAATTCCATGCTAACATAAAGCATATTCTGAGACATGGACCTGATTTTTTTTAAAGTAATAATAACAATAACTGACTTATTGTTACTGCTCTACCTGTGCTATGTGATAAGTACTTTAAGTGTATTAATTCATAATTCTCACTATGACCTGAAGTTGGTGTTACTATGTGTGTCTTCTGTGAGCAAACAGGCATGACAGAGTGAGTGATTTGCTGATGTTCAAAGAACCTGGACAGTCTGGCCCCTAGCCATTCCTGGCTATAAATTTTGTGGCAGTAAAATTGAAAATTTCCCCAACTCTCCTTGTGTGAAATGCATTTGTGGCCCACTATGAACAAAGTGAGAATTTAGGAATACCATTTACTTGGAAAAATCTGAACATTACAGTCTTAATTATTTGAAAAAATACAACATGTTAGAGTCGCTAATTTGCTAGGGTTCCAATAACTGGAAAATCATCAAGAAATGGCATAATAAATTTCTTTCCGGATCACTTAGTTGAAATGTGTTAAATAAACAGTTGTATTACATAAACAGTTTTTTAGTCCAGTGTATGTCTCCTGAGGACCTATAGGTACCATACTAAGAGAGAGAAACTTTGAGGGCAGCAGTTTCTAATTTGATTAAAATCTGTGCTACAGTTATCTTAACATCAGCAGTTTTTAAGTAACTTCAGTAAGATGGGTTATACCTTTATTAACAAATGGAAAAGTAATGCATTTGCTGTAATATTATCCTTGCATTCATTTTAGCTCATTGTGTGTGTGTCAACATTTTTACATTAGATTCATAATAGGACATGAATTGGGGCTCAACATTTTCGGTTTCATATTCCATTTGCTATAAACACTGATTCTGGTCCTCGGTTTTTTATTTGTTGAATGTGAACATCAAACCATATCAGAATTACTAAATTTTATTTTTAAGCATCCAAATGTTTTTTCAAACTAAATTTTGCCTATCATCCTAACATGTAGGTTAGATAAAAGCTGAGCTACCAAGGTTAAATTTCACACAGTAGGGCACAAGTGGAACACTTAGTAGGAAACTCCTTATGTTATGAGGAATATGCCTTGAAAGTCAAAGCATATTGAATGTGCTTTGTAATTCAAGTTTCACTTACATTATTTTGATCTTTTCTGAGGGATTCAAGAGTCGTGGCAACAGACAAAACAAAAATCTAGATCCACAATGATATTTTCTATTCTGGTGAATGCTTTTCATAAAATTTGGTTATAAATTTTCTGGAAGAGAAATAATTTATTTCTTGTATTATGTCTTTCTAAAGAAAGGTTGCAGTGCTATATTATGGGAAGAACACGTTAATAGTATGAAAAGAGTGATTAAGAAAGTTTTTTCTAAGCTTTCGGTCTTATATATGATTCAACATGTATTTGTTATTATCTTTATGACTAAAGGTATATTTACTATATTATCTTTTAGACTATCTTAAAGTAGTCTTAAAGTTAACCTAAAGGCAGTGATGATACCTGGATTGGTATATGTGGGAATTTTTTTGTAACACCAAGTTAGGTATAGTGTTTTTTTGTTTCTAAAAGTTAATGAAAATTTTAAATGCTAACCAGTGATTATTTCCAGGATGAAGAGTGTGTACGCCTTGATAAAGAGAGATTGGCTGCTCGTTTGGAGGGTCACAAAGAAGGGATTGTACAGACTGAACAGATTAGGTAAGGATTTTTTAAATAGGAAGTAGGTAATGTAGGTATATAAAAATGCATGTGGAAAAGGGTGTGTCAAAATGCTATTCATATTTATATTTATCTCTCCTACTGTATTCATTATGTTTCTGTGCCCTAAGTTCATGTGAATATGTGTGGGCATGTTTTATGATGAGGGAGATTGCAAGCTTTTGTGTTTATCATGCTCTCTGGATGGCTTTCTTGATTCTGTTACTGTGTTAGTGTGTCTTTGTAAAAAATACTTTCTAATCCAGCACTCATCATGTAAATTCTTGTTTGATTTATAGTGGAAGTCAGCAAGCTTGTCCTGCAAAGTGCCACATACTAAATATTTTTAGATTTATGGGGAATAGGGTCTCTTTTGCAATTACTTTACTCTTTTTTTGGTAAGGAAGGCAGCCTCAGACGATACAGGAATGAATGAGAATGTTTACGTTTTGCCTATGGCCTTAAGTTTGCTGACCCCTGATTTTTACCATAATTAGAATCACTTCTTAAGTTTTTTTTTTTTTTTTTTTTTTGGAGACAGAGCCTCAAGCTGTCTCCCTGGGTAGAGTGCCGTGGCATAGCTCACAGCAAACCTCCAACTCCTGGGCTCGAGCGAGTCTCCTGTCTCCGCCTCCCAAGTAGTTGGGACCACAGGCACCCGCCACAATGCCTGGCTATTTTTTTTCAGTTGCAGCCATCATTGTTGTTTGGCGGGCCGGGCTGGATTTGTACTCGCCACCTTAGGTGTATGTGGCTGGCGCCTTAGCCACTTGAGCCACAGGTGTCGAGCCAGAATCACTTCTTAATACTTCCTTGGTACAGTGTAATTTTTATGGAAGTTTTATCCAAGTCGCAATAAAAGAATATAACATCAGTCCCTTACAATTTCTGTGTGCCTTTTAATTCCTTGCTTCTGTATCCTTCCCTCCCCCAGCAACCAATTGCTGTCCTAAATTAGTCTGTTTTTTCTAGAGTTATTTGTAAATGGGATTGTGCGTTATGTGCCTTTAATTTAGACTGGTTTCTTAGCATGATTATTTTGAGATTTATTATGTTGTTGGGTGTTTCAGTAATTCCTTTTTATTACTTTGATTATATGGATGTACCACAGTTTCTTTTTTATTACTTTCATTATATGGATGTATCACAGTTTATCCAATGACCTGTTGATAGTCATTCTGCTTGTTACCAGGTTTTGCTCTTACAACAAAAGCTGCTATGAACACATGTATACAAGTTTTTGCATAGACATAATGCTTTTATTTATCTTGGCTAAATAATTAGGAGAATAGTGGAATCATATGGTAGGACAGGTATAACTTTTTTGAAATTGCCACAATTTTTCAAAGGGCTGGTGCCATTTTATGTTTCTGTCAACAGTGTAAAAGAGTTTTTTCCGTATCCTTTCTAACATTTGGTATGGTCAGGCTTTACAGTGTTAGTAATTCTAATAGGTTTTACTTTTTTTTTTAGGTCTTACAGTTTTAAGTTTGACATTTAAGTCTATGATCTACTTTCATTTAATTTTTTGAAATATATGGTATGTGGCTTTGATCAAAATCCACTTATTTTTTATGATATAGGTTTGAAGTTCCATTTATTCATGTGGATGCCCAGTTGTTTCAGCACCATTGACTCCACTGAATTGTCTTTGCACCTTTGTGAGATATGAGTTGTCCATGAATGTTTAGGTCTGTTTCTGGACCCATCTGTTCTGTTGATCTGTTTGTCTTTTTTCTAGTACAACACTGTTTTAAATACTGTATCCTTAATTGTTGTGTCTTTTTTTTTTTTTTTTTT